ATCACATCCGAAGCATGTGAATCATGTTGTGTTATGATCAGTGCGCACAATAAACAAAGAAGTAACGATCGAAAATCGAAACGGTTATTATCGAATCGTGCCCGGCATCCAGGACGCTATCGAAAGGGAAATCATATGTACACTTTTACTCTCCTACTCTTCACTGGACCGAAAATATAATTAGTACACTTTTTAATTGTGTTTTTCGTTGTTTGTTACGCAAGCAAAAGAAAAGAGAAAAATTTTAAATCCGAAAGTAAAACCGTGCGCAATCAGCAACAATCAGCAACAATAAAAATTGTTATGTGATGATGATGATGATCAACATAATCGTCGTAAATGTGTTGAGGCTTGTTATCTTGACGTCTGCGCGCGATGCATGTTTTTTGTTTATCGGAAATTACGATAGATGACTTTCAATATTCGAATCGCATTCGAATCGGCGCTGCAGGCGCACACAAACCTAACCTATGTTCGGGAAATATTTCCAGTGCGCATGCGCGTGTGTATGAGTCGCGTTCATCGAACTTGAATACTATTGCATTTCGTCTGCATCTGCGTCCCGCCGAAATGTGTTTCGCTTTCGATTGAGTGACGGATTTAATTTAGCGCGCGTACGTATCTTACGCACGTAATTAGCTATTATCGGCGATCGCTTGATTGTTCACAAACACTAACACACACACACACATTGGATTTCTCAACGTTAGAACGCGTCGTGACGAGTTAGGAAGCGCATTAATTAATGCCGAACGCGCGCATACATATTGTAAATACCGATCGATAATTAACCCAAAGTCGACTTTGAAGTTGGAACAATTTGAACGAAATAGAAACGATGAGAGGCAAGGAGTGTAACAATCATGGCATGGGTGTGGATGTGGCTTCCAGTTAATTATTATTTAGTGCTAATTTATGTAACGAATACACCAGCAGTGGATATAAATGACTAATTACTAATTTATTTATAATTGATTGTAATATTATTAGCAGAAATATGAAACACAAACAATAATAAATATATTGTTTTCAGAAGCAGAAAAATTTTATTTTAATTTATGTTAATACTGAATAAGCAGAAAGAAAATAAAAAAATTCAATCGAAAAAATTCAGAAAAAAAGTTTACAAAATGTTTAAATGTCTGCTGACAACGAAATAATTGCTCGATCTGATTGATTTAAACTTTAAAGGAATCACTAATAACTATATTTTTCATTATCATAAAGTTTTTATTATATTTAAATGTGAAAATAGCTTTTATTTGACGTTTTTTGTGATTTTCAGGAGTTAACTATTGCTTTTCTTAGTTAATCTGCAAAATTAGGTTATGTTTGCTTAGTAATTCCATTGTTTTCACATTTATAAATCTTAAACAACAACACAAATATGTTATTGTTATCGGCACGTGATATTTTCCATGCGCAATTTATTATTACTTTTTCCCGATAATAAATTCAACATTTTTGAATTTTTCAATTTTTGACCGTCATAACAACTTGATTATTTATCTCCGAATCGTGCGCGATCTCAGCGTAAATTCGCGGATATGCAATATACGTCCTTATTTATTAATTGCGCGAAATGTCCGAAACGTGCCCGGCGTTACTCACACCGCGCGCCCGAAACATCCGCAAATGTCAAAAATTAGCGTCTCGCAACGCCATCTATACCTCTACCTACCTACCTACCTAATTTATATCCTCATACAACCCGTTACGTAAATATTATATAATTGCGCACGAATTTGAGCTTTTAGGTTAGCAGGTAATCAATTAACACGAATTAGCACGTTTGTTATGCCGCACGCGCTCAATACACCAACAAAAATATTGTTATATGTATGCTTAGATAATATAATAGTAAACCGTACGAAATATTGGTCGATTGGTCCATTACTCCATTGGTCTGGTTACCAACTGCACGCAATAGCAAATAATAACCAATAAGCATCGCGAGTTACGAGTTAAAGACGAAGAAAAAAGCACCAACGCTATCAGTGTTGATCCACTTAATAAATCGATGTTTAACTAGAATAACTACGCTAACTGTGCGCAGTGTGCTTAACTGGGTTTATTTACGCTCAAATTACACATGGAGGAAAATATTTGACTTTGGTCTTACTTTGTGTTCATTTCTTTTTCTTTTTCTTTTTCTGTTACTCACTGAACACATATCATTAGCATAAATTCATTGAATTCATTTCGATCTCATTTAAATTCGAAGATACGTTCATTCACTAAGTGATGATATTGTTGTGTGTTGTGTGTGGCGAGTGGAAACTGGGTCAGTGATGTTCGGTCGTTAATGGCTGCTTTTAGGGATTAAAATTTTAAAACACACAAAAAAACAAAAAATCAAAAACCACGTTGTGTGTTGTCTTGTCGCGGCGTGTAACAAATGACTGAGCGATTTGAACTTTCTAAATTTTCTTTTGAAACCAAACCGAAATCGATTTTTTCACATTTCCATCACTTTAAACCTTAAAAACTATTTAAATCTAATAGAAATTAACATTAGTTTAAGATTTATAACCTAAAATATAAAAAAAAATATGAAAACAATGCAAGTATAACCTAATTCTAGCGATTAAGTTAGGTTAGGTCGCAATTTAATTGCGATTTATGAGCGCGCGCTTATCGATTTGAAAGTGATCGATACGAAAACCATTTTTGCACATTGCAAATATGGCGCGCGCACGCATTCGCCCGTCATTCACTCATTTGCATTTCAACGTCCGACTGTCCGCAACTCAACTCACACCCAAACACAACAACCATATGTCTATTGTGATTTCTTCCTGTCGCACAGCAAACGCTAAAGAAGTTGTCGTTCCTACTTATCATTTCAATACATCGCCAAACAAAAAAACATACAGTGTGTTTATTTACTGTTTATATGATTATAACAGAAAGTGTTTCGGTCACACCTTGCGTCGACATTCAGTGGCACATAACCTATAAACCGCGCGTACAAAACACAAACGTCTGTGGGCGTCATAATTGTAATTGTTCCCAACATCTGTAAATCAACCTGACATTACCGACTTTACATATTAAACGCTTCCAGTAATAATACGTCAACAAAAAAGACGAAAGAAAGTTCCCGTTTGTGCAAAACAATAGTTTCAACTATAAACTATTCAATCTATCGCCGATAAGCCACTCAAAAACGCCAAACGTTTAATCATTCGTAAATTACACCGAAAGCAAAGTGAATTTTCATTTTCATGCATTGAAAATTACATAACCACAATTGTTTGTACCTGAGATGATAAATTATGCGTTAAATAATACACTTTCTATCATTAAACATATAAATTTTTTGTTTTGAAATATAGGCAACCCAATATACTTCCGTATGTTGTATTACGCATGCGCATGATGAGAATGTTTACAGAGACAAAAACATATGTTGACTACTACTAGTACTACTGGTTGCCGACTGGAGGAACGTCTTGAATGTTGAATGTATTATCATATCATGTGTACGCCGAGTATGTTCGCGCACGAGCACGAACCTCGACAACTCGGTGTTCACTTCGCATTGTCCGCATGAAATAATTACGATTATGGCCGCCCGCCGACGACATGTTTATCGATACGTGCGCGTGGAGGATCACCGGCGAAGGAAAGGTGAAAGTGCATCTGAATTCATTCGCCAATACGCCACCATTGGCTTCCGGCCAACCTTATAACCTCGTAACACTAGGTCCAAGTCATCTAAATCTTCAGCCGTTTTGCGTTGAAAGAAAACTCAAACGAAATGTGTTGTACTGTGTTGTGGAAAGCAACAAATGTTACCGTGTTTTTTTATCGGACTCAATATGGCGCGGCGGCGGTCGCCATATTTGGCGTTTTGTGCCTGTTTAGAGCTTTAAACCATCGATAATGAAATGCTAAGGGGCGCTAGTTTATTACTCGGGTATTCCAATCACTTAATTTACTTCTACGGTAAATTTAAATTAAATCCGAAGAATTTTCGCTATTTTAGAGTTGAAAAATTCTTATCTCTTCATCGAAATGTCGACAGTAACATAAATAAATTTCACGCTAATTAATAAATCTGTTCATCATGTTTCAACATGTGCAGGACGAGCAGGATGACGATTAATGCCAAAAAAGCGGTAATTATTACCGTTATTGCTTTACCTACATTTTATTTCGTTTCGTTTCGCATTTCGACGCTCGAAATGCAAATTTTAAAAATTCGCAAATTAATGCCACGTTTTTTTTGTGTAACTGCTCTGATAAATAATTAGTAATCAAGTGTCAAATCAATGAATAATCTGTTGAAAACACCGATCAAATCGCCGATAAGTAGACGTGGAAGAAAAAAAACTTTTTAAATTTTTTATGTTTCTGTGTTTGGACGACGAGCGTTGACGACCGGCGCTAATCTGCATAAATAAACGTTACGCAATTAAACAAAAACGAATCGTTTGGAGTTAATTGATTGAGGCGTGACCCAGACCACCAAGTCGATGAAATTCGAAGCAAATTTAAATTAATTAAGAAATAGGTTAGGTTTTTAATGCGTTTTTGTTGATTTTTTGAATTTTTAAAAATTAAAAATTGATTTTTCTTGGAGTTTTAGCAACAATTGAAAGGCGAAAATTGTAAATTTTATAAAAAAAACGCTCTTATCTTTCAAAATATTAATAGAATATGACCAAGAAATAATTATTTTAGGAGATACAGAGTGTGAAAAGTGATTTTTTGTAAAAATAAAAAGTGATTTATAGAAAAACATGATTTTTTTGCAAAAAATGATTTTAAGGAAGTTTTAGCAACATTTGACCAGTAAAATTCACAAAAGATGTTAAGAAACCTTTTATCTTTCATAAAATGAATAAAATATGATAATGGCATAATTATTTCAGGAGATACAGAGTGTTAAAAATGTTTTAGTAGCAAAAAATTCACATTTTGCAGAAATTTTTAGCAAAACATGAATTTTCTTTTATATTTTACGATAAAAACCTAATTTACTATCCACTTACCCCCATGATATCATCACAGTCCTCACTCTCAGCAATCCCTGCAACCCTTTCCTCTCGCACACACTCGGTTACTTCAGTCTCCCGATTCTCGCGCACTTCCCGCTTCGCGTCTGCATTCTCAAGCGAGAAAATCGAATTCACCCCGTTTTCCGTATAGTCCTCCGCATATAAACTCGCGCGTTCATCCCAGGACGACCCCGACGCTCTTTGACGATCCCTATCCAACATCTGCTCACTATCAAACTCTTCCTCCTCCTGCAGTTGACTTGTCTTGGCATTATCCTCCGCTGCAGCCCTTATTATGTTAGCAGAGTCTGTTTTCTTTCGAAAATGCACCACGGTCGGCGTATCACCGTCTAAATCGATGTCAATTTCCGGTTGTTCGCCACTAGTCGTCGACACAGAGGTTGACCGTTCAAGATACCACGAGGTTTGCTCTTCAGGACCTCCTGAAGATGCAGAATCTCCATTTATACGTGCCCCGAGTGCATCTTTACATTTTTTGAAATAATTTTTAACTTTTTTCGCTCTTGTTTGTTTTATAGGAGCTGCAGAAGATGAAATAAGAGTTATTTCCGGTTCAGGTTTTCCGGAATCTTCAACAGATGCCTTCCATGATGCTTCATCATAGGTTATACACTGTGAGCCTGATGGTGTCACCTGGAAACACAAAAATTGAGGTTATTTCCTGATTCGCATTGACCCAGATGTCAAAATTCTATACAAGAGAATCAGGACGTCCTAAAAATGTCGCCTGACTCTATTATTCCAAATTAGGCAACACAAATAGCACTAAAACGTCAAAAACAACATTTTTCTAAAACTACGCATAGAATCTCTAATCCTGACATGACAATATTTATCATGCTGTCATTCGATTGTCCAGCATGCGCTGGATCTCGTCTCCATCAATCTCCCTCGCATCTCAATGCAAAATCAGTCCGCGAAATGCACTCTCAAAGCCGCCACACACAGCCATTTCCAATGTAGGCAACACACAATACACTTATAGTGATTAATTGTGTTACAACGAGTGAAAACGTTTTATTAATTGCACCGAGTGCTCGCGCGCGAATTGATATGTTATTCCTGGGTGCAAATGCGCGCAATGTTCCTCTCGTTTTCAAGCGCTTGAACATGAAACTTAATTAGCTTAAAAGATCCGAGCGCTGAGATTGAACTAGCGCTTTGATTTCAACACTTGTTAGGCAAATGGTTGAGAATCACACGGTCGTAGAGAGTCGAAGCCCAAAGAGACAACCGATTCGTCTTCGCTCGCGGTGGCATTAATTCCATGCCAGCGATAAATAATTTATGAAAAACGATTAATTAACAAAATTGTATAAATTACGAGCGTGCATTCGTAAATTGATTTCGATGCATATTTAATCACGCGCATGAATAATAACTCAATTAATTTTGATGTTTATACAAGCGACATACACTTGAACCTTAAAATTAATCATAACCAATCATATCCCTACTAATATTATAAATGCGAAAATCCAGATGTTTGTTACACTTTCACGCAAAAACTACTTACCCGATCATCATGAAAATTTGTACACATATTCTTAGTGGTCCCCTAATGGTTATAGGCTACTTTTTATTTAATAAAAAAAATAATTTTTAAAATAAAATAAAGAAATTGTTTAGCCAATAATACCTCTGCATCTGGCTATTTGACTACTTTAACGCCATCTAGCATTCCAGCAATGAAGCTCAAACCTAAGTACTATAGTACTATCACACTGTATTATCACACTGTATTACCGACAGCTACGTCAACATCAAATCCAATTGACTACACTATGGAGACTGTACACTATACTTCCATAGACTATACTTTCCACCATTTTAAACTTCCCGCCATTCTACTTCATTGTTACTTCTTCTGTGACTACAGACGCGTACGGAAGCTAGTAATTTATAAATACAGTTAATAGATGGCGTTGTTGTAGGCAATTTGTAAGCTAATATCAAATGCATGATCTTTATGTGTCGAATTTCTCGCAATTCGCATTAAACGTGTTTGTGGGCGCAAGCGCGCAATAGAACAGGTTAGTGTCTTAACCATAAAACCTGGCTACTCATTGTGCGAGCAAATATTCACGCACGGCCCACACGGTTTACAGCCGGCTGAGAGTTACGAGCAGTGTGTGTTGCGAACAGAATTACTTAAGCGCTAAGCACTCACTTGCCCCCGATATAATAACGACAACAAAACGCGCGACAAACATGAACGCGCATCGTGGGCAGTTCCACAGGTTTATAAAGCGATAAGAGTCGGTGCTTAAACGCGCAAATCGCGACCGATCGATTGATTTTCGCTAACGGTTTTCACAACAACGAGCAATATGTGTGCATTTGGTTTTTTTCGAGATGCGTATCGCGTCGTTCGGCGAACAATCGATGAATGAATTCATTGTCGAACATGAATTTCGATATTCTTTTAAAGGATGTTGTGTTTCCTTAAATGTTCATTGATATCACAATCGTGTATTATTCAAAGAAAGGTGATTGACTTCAAATATTAAATTAAATTGTTTTATTGCTACCCCTGAAGTTATGCAACTTAATATACATCACCACAGCATTAAAATATTTGTTTTGGAATGTAATAAATCTTTTTCAAATTTAAACTTATAATTTGTTAGTGGATATGTACAAGTTGTAGTTGGAAATAGATTTGCTGACCGATGGAAGTCCCTTATTAGGCGCTCCGCCGAGAAAAAAGATGAATGAACGCGCGACGCGACCAAATTAATTATGCATGTGTTCGTTTGCGTTCGCGTTACGCAAGCGCAAGACGATCTTCGAGGGCTTCGAGTTATTAATTACGATGAGAAGCGCTTTTCACGAAACACGCCGCGCTGCTGGAATGTAAGGACAACCACTGTGCGACGCGACCACTTATTTTGTGATTTTTACGCACACACGCGCATGCGCAGTTAAAGGTTTAGACGGAATGAAAACGAGAGGGTCCACTTGATGCTTTTACTTTCGTTTCGTTTGTGTTTTGTACAAATGGAAACATAACATGATGATGAAAGTGAAAAATGTTGGTTATTTTGTATGTCTTTGCTTGTGATGTATATTGGGTTGCAGCGCTTTCATGTTTTGTCGTATTTATTTTTGAGTGGTTGTTTTGATCGATACAAAGCACTATAGGCTGTGACTGTCATGAAACCCCCGTCTGGAGCTTTTATGCGCTGCGGCGCGCCGTTGCAATTTTAGATTTTCGCTATAAAAGCATCGCACCAACACATTAAAACACTCGTGCAAGAAAAGGCAAGAGTAATCAATCCGTCTTCCACGGTTCTACGATTCGCTGCTAGTTGTGACGAGCAGGGATCGAAATAAGTGTGGAAATGCTGGAAAAATACGGAATTTTTATACATCCAGCAGGAGGAAAGTAAAATAAAGGAAAATGGAGCGGATTTTCCGATGCAGACAGCGTGATGGGGCAAAAATATTCACAGCTGCGGATTTCCACGTTTTATCCAATTTTGCAGAAACCATTTTATGCATTTTGTTTTTGTTTAAAAGTTTTGCTTCATTTGTGTGATTTTCAAAACTCTATCGATAATAATATCCAACTTAATATTTAAAATAACTTTTTCTGTGGTTTTGAGACACGAAAAGTGGCAATTTAATCACGGTCGTGACTAAAGTACTTTAGTCACGGGATGGAGTTTACGAAGTTTTTAAGTAAAAAATTCAAATATAAAAATTAAACGTAGAAATAAAATGAAAGTAGAAAAATTACGTAAGTATCACGTAACTAAACGTGGTTAAAGTGCCATTTAGCGCACTTGATACATAATATACCATAAACAAATTAAATTCTGTATTTTATAGAAAGTAAACACTTGGAAAATTACCCACAAGCTTTTTCTCATTCCAAAGCTCTCTAATTATAGGTTAATATCAAAAACCTTTATAACACATCGCAGTGCATAAATAAATTAACATTAAATGTGCTTGTTTGCTAATGAATGCGTATTGAGGCATGTTTTTATTGATATTTATCTTTCACTTCATTTGCGCGCTGCACTTGCAATTGCTTTGTCTGCGTGTTTGTTTTGGTTTCTTGCGACCGCCGCAGCATCTGTACCGTGAGGATCTAGTTAATGACAAATTTTACGAGTTGTTTGCGCGCCGCTTGTAAATCACGCCATCGGGCGTAATTAGAGAAGGAAGCGTCGCTTAGCAGACACTTTGTAAAGTGAACATAAAGTGAACATAAAGTGATATTAGTTTACTGCGGGCATCCGGGGATGCGCACCGGTGTCTACCCGAAACTGAAACGACCCTTTATGCAGATCAAGCCACTCAAACCGGAAGTTGGTACTTAATTCAAGCAGTGACGCTCAAAATGATTAAAATTTAAATATTCACATATCACGCCATCTATGGGCAAATTAAAAACTTAAAATATATTTTAGGTAAAATTTAGTAAATTTTGAACATTGATAACAACTCCTAACTAGTAGAGTGTGTGTTTTAGCGAAGACTTTGAGTTAAAGTTAAACTTAAAGTTTAAGTTTAAATTTGAGTTTGAGTTTAGTTTAAGTTGGTATTTCCAAAGCGGAACTTTTAGTCATGACATCCGGTACCTGTACAAGACTCATACCCGTGTTGCGCACGTGTAAGACACGCGCACGGCTTGCATTATTTATCAGGAGGAGCAAGGATGGAATTTATGCGCAGCGCGCCTCCACTCGAATACCTGCAGATCTCCAGATACGAACGCAAGCGGTGGAAAATTGAAATGAATTATGAATCGAAAACCTCCCTGGTATTACAAGTATGCAAGAAATATTACGTTATGCAAATCATTACTTCATAGGGTGACCTTGAAGATATTACTGATTTTAGTCATGAAACAGAATAAATGAATAGGTAATTTGCAAAAATAAAAATTCAACAATTTATTATTCGCGTGATATTTTAGCCAGTAACGTGTTTATTTACGTCGATAAGCATCTCGTGATAAGAGAAACAAATGCAAAGTGCTTTGTAACACGACAAAACGAGTGAATTTCAAGTGAAAATAAAGCCAAGCGAAAGAAAATTGTCTTGTATTGATTTTTACGTGTTTAAGAATGAAACTTAAAGATCTATTTGTAATCCCCGCAGCAATTTTAGCCATGTATGATTACGGTGCATGCGTGCGATGCACTCGGCCGTCCTCATTCCCATGGCTCATTCAAACTCGAACGCTGCTTCTTCTGGCGGTTCGAAAACCGCCGAAATAAACAAGAACAACAAGCGCTGCAAGAACTAAGTGACCAATCGAGTGCACTCGCGCACTGCTCCGAGATGAACCTGATGAGCTTCCAATTTTCCAATATTATTCCACGTGCAGAGTGTACGTACTTGTACAGATGTACATGTGTACCTACATAGTTATCCACTGCCGGTTGGAGATCGTTATAAGTTATAATGGAAGACTTCATCTCGGGCTACTCGGGCGGCTCGGGCGACTCGGACATTCGTATTGGTATTATCTGCGTGAGAACACAATTTACTGTCGGTAATCGCGGGCGCGACGATCGAGAAATGTCAAAATGTCATTAACAACGTTTATTTACATTAATTATAAAGTTTTTTTTTGTTTTTGATAAATAAAGACTAAAATAAGAAATAAAATAAAA